AAGGGCAAAACAGGAGTAGCAAAGACACAGTGAAGCCCGTTTTCAGCGCAGTAGTACAAAGGCTGCATGTGAAAAGCAGAAGGAAGCTGCTAGAGCACAGCTGGGGCTTCAACACTTCTGCTACCAGAAAGCACATCATTCTCCCACAAACTCATGCAGTCGCCACTACAACCTGTGCCAGAGGATAACAAAACCAGGACTTCCCAGCCTACTTTCTACACCAAGAAGGAATCCAGCTGCTACACCCCATCCTGCACTTCACCATGCAAAGAACCACCTTCCCACTACTTACTTTTGTCACGCCTTTCTCCAGGCAGCTCCAGCTGCACAGGCCTCAGGTCCACAGGTGGGGAGATGGGGCTTCCACACCCCTCCTCCAGCATGTCAGCCAGGTTATCGTGCCCGGTGTCCCTCAGGATGGAGAGGAATATTGGGAAGGCCTGCTTCCCACGGGTCTCCAGGTCTATGACCAGCTGTCGTGCTTGTTCCCTTCGGGTGCCAGCACTCTGCAGAGGAGGGAAGGCAGGGACAAGGCTCGGTGATGCTTCCTGAGCCCTTCAGCTTTGCCACAGCCAACAGGAAACAAAAGGAGGGTACTGGAACCCCTGGTTCTGGGGGATGGGAGGACCAGGGGACACCCCCAGCTTGACAACACAGGGATAAAAGACACTTTCTAAATCAGCTTGCCACCAGTATCATGGAAGGGGAACAAAGGGGAGGACAAGAGGGCACCATACAGACGGCCAGTGGAGGACATAGGGGTGCCATGGGCCATGTCATGGGCATGGAAGGGACACAGAGGGCACCAGGGCTTTGTCACTGGGCTGCAGTGATGCAGGGACTCACAGGGACCTGTCAGCAGGCAACAGGGACACGAGGACCCCTGGGGCTGAGAGGATGTTGGATCTCTCAGGGCTCGTTATTAGACTGTGGGAACACGGGTCCTTCCCAGGGCCTGCCATAGGGCTGGGGGGGGTGAGGGGACACTTTGAGTCCTGCTACTGGGCAGGGAGGAGGTGAGAATCACAGAATGGTCAGGGTTGGAAGGGACCTCAAGGATCATGAATCTCCAAGCCCCTGTCACATGCAGGGCCACCAACCTCCACATTTAATACCAGACCAGCTTCCCCAGGGCCCCATCCAACCTGGCCTTGAACACCTCCAGGGATGGACGGGGCATCCACCTCTCTGGGCAGCTGTTCCAGCACCTCACCACTCTCATAGGAAAGAACTTCCCCCTGTCATCCAACCTCAATCTTCCCTCCCTCAACTTAAAACCATTTCCCCTTGTCCTGTCCCCTTGTATCTCCCCTTTCCAAGAGTTGATTCCCCTCCTGTTTGCAGGCTCCCTTTAGGTACTGAAGGCTGCAATGAGGTCACCCCACAGCCTTCTTTTCTCCAGGCTGAACAAGCCCAGCTCCCTCAGCCTGTCATCATAGTGGAGGTGCTCCAGTCCCCTGCTCATCTCTGTGGCTCCTCTGGACCCTCTCCAACAGCTCTCTATCTTTCTTGTACTCGGGGCTCCAGACCTGGACGCAGTGCTGCAGATGGGGCCTCACAAGAGCAGAGCAGAGAGGAACCATCAGCTTTCTGTCGCTGCTGGCCACCCCTCTGCTGATGGAGCCCAGGATCCCACGTAAGGACACCCCGAGCCCCGTCACCGAGCTGAAAGGACACGAGGCCCTTTCACCGGACCGCGAGGACGCGGGACCCCCGGCCGCGCCCCGCAGCCCACCTGCATATCCTCCACCATAGCGCTGGTGAAAACCCCTCGGGCCTGCAGCGGCCCCCAAAGCACCTCGGGCCGCAGCCCCTCCACCAGCCGCACCCGGCCGCGCCGCAAGGCGCGCCTCTGCGCCTCCTCCATGGCGATCCACATCACATGACCGGAAGCGGAAGCGTCGCTATGGTGACGGCGGGCGGGCGCGCCGGAAGCGGCGGCTGCGGGGCTAAGGCCGGTGCCGGTGCCCGCCATGGAGCTGGGCCGCGCGGGCCCGGCCGGCCTGCTGCTGGTGTTGCTGCTGCTTCTGGCGGCGCAGGCCGCGCCGGAGCGGGACCCGTACCGCGTGCTGGGCGTGGGCCGCTCCTCCAGTCAGGCCGACATCAAGAAGGCGTACAAACGGCTGGCACGGCAGTGGTACAGAGCGAGACCTGCGGCTGGGGGGGGGGCGGGGAGGCCTGGGCGCGCGGCAGGGAGTAACGCTTCGTCCTTCCTATCCCGCTCCAGGCATCCGGATAAGAATAAGGACCCGGGCGCTGAGGATAAGTTCATCCAGATCAGCAAGGCCTACGAGGTAAGAGAAAGGCGCTGCAGAAAGGAGATAGGAACGGTACCGAGAGGGGGCTGGAGTGCAGCGCTGGGATGGGTGAGGCTGGGGGACGGGAGGCTCAAGGCAGACCTCATTGCTCCGTACGGCTCCTGAAGGAAGGCTGCGGTGAGGCAGGGTTGGCTTCTGCTCCAGGTGACAGCGATAGGATGGGAGGTGATGGCCTCAAGGTGCACCTCAAGGTGTGGGTTAGATGTTAGCAGTGATTTCTGCTCTGAAAGAGCAGTGATGTGCTGGCACAGCTGCACAGGGAGCTGTGCGGTCACCATCCATGGAGGTGTTCGAGGAATGTGGGGATGTGGCACTGAGGGATGTGGTTAGTGGGCACGGTGGGTGGGGGTGGGTCGGGGTTACTCCGGTCCCCACCCCTCCACACTTTGCACTGCGCCACCTTTCTTCTGTCCTTTGCTTCCCAGATCCTCTCCAACGAGGAAAAGAGGGCAAACTTTGATCGCTACGGAGATGCTGGGGAGAGCCAGGGCTATTCCCAGCACCAGCAGCGCCAATTCCACCACTTCCACGAAGGCTTCTACTTTGATGAGTCCTTCTTCCATTTCCCCTTCAATTCAGAGAGACGTGACACCTCCGACGAGAAGTATTTGCTCCATTTTTCACATTACATCAATGAAATCGTGCCAGATAGTTTCAAGAAACCATACCTCATTAAGATCACCTCAGATTGGTGCTTCAGCTGCATCCACATCGAGCCTGTGTGGAAGGAAGTTGCTCAGGAACTGGAGGCACTGGGTAAGGACGAGGCGTTGGGGTTGAGCACGAATTTCCTTGCAGAATGAGGTATGGGAAGGGTGTCCACCAGCAGCTGGTCCATAGAAGGACTCAGGGATTTAGGCCACAAGCCTAACACTTTCCTGTGTGTTAGTAATAACTAAATCAATGAGGCTAAGCATTGTAAACAAGGAAACATTAGGCTTTCCTTCTGACTCATACAGTTTCAGCTCTTTCTACCTGGTGGTTTCACTGTTGTTCCCTCGGTCACCCCCGATGCTACAAGGGGAAGATGCCTTTTCTCCCTAATTGTAGTCCAGCAGCCATGGTAATAAATAACCACATTAATTAAAGCTCATAGGTAAATCCTGCATGGCTCTGTCCTGAACTTGGAACAAGCAGAATACAGCACCTGAGTCACCACCATACAGAGCTGCGAGGGAAGTCTGGGGACTTGTCAGCCCTACTGGAAATATATTTGTGTGCCAACAAGAAAGCTGGGAATGCAGAGAGCAAGTGGAAATTTTGTTTTTCGTGCTGATGTCTAGTGCATGCACTTTCCAAAAAAACACAGCAGGACACAGAGGTGGTCCAGTCCCTCCTTACTGAGCTTGTTCTCCTTTGGGTTTTACTGTAGCACGTGTGACATCGGTGGGTAAAATAAAAGAGGCCATCACGTTCCCTCTCTCCCTCGATAAAGCTTTCAGTACAAGTTCCAAGGGACTGCAGCGTGAGGAAAGCACAGAGCTGGGAGGGACCGTGACACAGATAACTGCCAAGCGTGGTGCTGAGCAAGGGAAGGGGTCTTCAAACTCAGCTGCCTGGTCCAGGCGTGGGCTCGTGGTCATCGTTTAGGTCGGTTTGCTCTCCTTTCACAGGGGTGGGCATCGGGGTCGTTCACGCCGGGTACGAGAGGCGCCTGGCCCATCACCTCGGCGCTCACAGCACGCCGTCGATCCTGGGACTGATGAACGGGAAGATCAGCTTCTTCCACAGCGCCGTCAGTCGAGAGAACCTGCGGCAGTTTGTGGAGAACCTGCTGCCAGGGAACCTCGTAGAAAAGGTACACGTGAGGGGGGCGTGCAGCGCTGCGGCTGCCGTCTGATTGGGGCAGACAGAGCTCGTTAGCTGTTGCAGCTGCTCATCCAATTAATGCAGCCCTGATGTGTGTCACTGATGTGAGAAGAGCCAACTGGGGAACCAAAGTGCTTCAAGAGCTGTAATTATGGCTCCACACCCTGCTTGGAAGCAAGGACACCACACTGTTCTGTAACTCTTATTTTCTTTGTGACGGGGCTCGTTGCACTACTGCACATTTAGGCCAGCAGTGCAGTCTATATGCTGCTCTTCCAGCTGCGGTCAGTGCCGAGTCAAACCAGCACACATGTCAGGCATACCTGTGGCAGCTTTTTCAGACCTGGTTCTCACCCAGGCACCTAACCCTACAGCACTGCACGCGTCTGACTGTTCTGAGGTTCAACTAACAGTGTGACTCCATTTAAAGATTACAGATAAAAACTACATCCGCTTCCTATCTAACTGGAAGAAAGAAAACAAGCCCCACGTCCTTCTGTTTGATCACATGCCAGTCGTGCCGTTGCTGTACAAGGTAAAGCAATATCTGCCTCTGGATTTTGACTTGCTACTAAATCCAGCACATGCCCAATGGCATTTAAACAGTGGGGGGTGTTCATAAGCAAAGTCACCACGAGCACTGGGGGGACAAGGCATTCTTTTTGTGCTAATGTGACACATTCTGGTGCTTTCTTCCCATCCAGCTGACTGCCTTTGCATACAGAGATTACTTGTCCTTTGGTTACGTGTACGTGGGGCTCAGAGGGACTGAAGAGTTGTCCAGTCAGTACAACATCAACGTCTACACGCCGACCCTGATGATCTTTAAGGAGCACATCGACAAGCCCGCTGATGTGGCACAGGTACAGCTCTGAGCCCTCTCCGAGTGCTTCCATGAAAGGAAAGTTTTTTTCTGACCAAAATGAGAGGTTGGTTGGCTGCATTCTGAGGAATAAGTGGCATTGATTCTCAGTGGTACGTCTGGCTTCAGCAAAGGCAGTGAGCGAAGCCCCAGGAGGGAGGTAGCTTGGTGGGCATCAGGTGTGGGGTCTGAGCTTTGTAGGACAGTTGCAGGTAACTTCTTGGTCCTCTAAGTGTCTTTGGGGGTTTCAGTGAGGACTGTGATGGCTGGCATCCTCCAGCTCTTCAGGTGAGAGGAAGCCTTAGAATAGCTTTGCTCTCCTCAACCCACTCGGTACCAACTCTGCTTTCTTTCTTTTCTCTAGGCACGGGATATGAAGAAGCAGCTCATTGATGACTTCCTTTCCCAGAATAAGTTCCTCATGGCTGCCAGACTGACCAACCAGAGGCTGTTTCAGGAGCTGTGTCCTGTGAAGAAGTCACACCGTCAGCGAAAGTAAGGCTCCTTGGGAACCCATTTTGTCCCCTGAGGCTCTTGGGTTGCTTCTAAAGCCATCTCTTGTTGGATTGAGTGAGATATAAAAGGTCTCCAAGGGAAGGAAGGAAATGACTGCACTGGAGATTGCTGGGTATCCATGCAGCTTGATAGCTTTTGTGCCTCCACTGGGTGCATCTTGGGACAGAGGACAGGGAGAAGGGAGGAGGAGTGGGGCAACAGCCTGGAGAGCTCAACGTCTGGAAGGCAGAGGCAGGCTTTCAAAAATAAGCCCAAAAATGACAAACAGGGTTTCCATCCCTTCAGGATCATTCTCATTAGCAGAAAGAGGACAGCTGTTTCCTCTGGCAGCCAGAACAGCTCTTCATTCTCCATCTCTCTGTGTTGCCCAGGCACTGTGTGGTCCTGCTCACTGGAGAAGGCGATAAGTTTGCTGACACTTACGAGGCATTTTTGACCTTTGCTGTGGCCAACACAAAAGACACACTGAGGTTTGCACACATCTACAACGACAGGCAGCCGGAATTTGCAGATGCCTTGCTGATGGATGAGGAGAAGTACCGTGGGAAGTCAGCTGTGAGCATTACCTTTCTTTTCTTCTGCTGTGCTTTTCGTCTGTCGTTGTAAATCTCTTCAGTCTACGTAGGCTGCTGTAACTTGACCTGACTCCTAATTCTGGGCAGGGATTTGAAGCTAATGTCTTTCTCAGTAAAAGTGCTGTCCTGTCAGACATCTGATGTGGTTGGCTTGTCCAGGTGGTCATTTTGGAGAGGCGCAACAACGCAGGGAAGATTGCCTATAAAACCTTGGAGGAGGCCTGGCAAGGCAGCAACGAGGACAACTTCATCCTTCTGGATCTCCTGGACCAGCTAAGAACGGATCCTGGTCTTCTCTCCTCAGAGACTGTCCTGGAAGACTTGAATGATGAGCTTGCTCCTGTAAGTGCACAGCCTTTCCAGCCACTTAACAAGCATGTTACCTCCTTGAACAGTACTGTTATGCTCATTAGTGGGAATCACACTCTACAGGTGTTGTTGCTCAGGAAAGGTGAGCTCATGGCATAATCCAAAGCTGATTTGGGGCTGGGGTTCAGTTCAGGGGCTGGGGCTCTCATTGGTGCTGGGAATAACAGCTTTATCATTTGCCTTTTTTTCTTTCCCCTCCTTCTCTTAAACAGATGTTTCTTATCCGGTGGTTCCATTCCACGCTGGACTATATCTTGGACTGCTGGGACAGCTTGTTTCATAGCAACTGGTATGGAAGGGGCACTGACAATTCTCAATAGGGAGCAGGATTGCTGTTCTTTTGTTCAGATGCATGGTAGAACCAGGCTTGGGTTAACAGGAAATGAGAATGCACCAAGTACACGGGTGCCTGCATGCT